ACCTGCCTGCTCTCTGCTGGCTGACCCTGTTGCCCGACAAGCTGTCTAAACCCAGAGTCCAGCAAGCCCAGATCCCTGAACCTTTCCTCTGCAGTTCCAGAGCCACCCTCACAGGGCTCCTAGCCCACTCCCCACTCTTGGGTTTGAGCTGCGGAATTGCAGTAAGGCATGGGGTAACCAAGAAGGTTGCCATTTTGCTTGGCATGAGAGTAGCTGGGAGGCAGATTCCTTTTTTTTTTTTTTTTTTTGAGATGGAGTCTTGCTCTGTCACCCAGGCTAGAGTGCAGTGACGCGATCTCGGCTCACTGCAACCTCCGCCTCCTGGGTTCACGCCATTCTCCTGCCTCATCCTTCCGAGTAGCTGGGACTACAGGTGCCCGCCACCACGCCTGGCTAATTTTTTTGGTATTTTTAGTAGAGACGAGATTTCACCATGTTAGCCAGGATGGTCTTGATCTCCTGACCTCGTGATCCACCCACCTCGGCCTCCCAAAGTGCTGGGATTACAGGTGTGAGCCACCGTGCCCGGCAAGGGAGGCAGATTCTTTTTTTTTTTTTTTTTTTCAGTTGCAAGATTTAATAGAGTGAAAACAGAGCTCCCGTACAAAGGGAGAGGACCCAAAGAGGGTAGCCGTTGTCCCTCCCGCTGTGCTCTCAGGCAATATATGATTGGCTATTTCTTTACCTCCTGTTTTTGCCTAATTAGCATTTTAGTGAGCTCTCTTTACTACCTGATTGGTCGGGTGTGAGCTAAGTTGCAAGCCCCGTGTTTAATGGTGGATGCGGTCACCTTCCCAGCTAGGCTTAGGGATTCTCAGTTGGTCTAGGAAATCCAGCTAGTCCTGTCTCTCAGTGCCCCCTCTCAACAGGAAAACCTAAGTGCTATTGGGGAGGTTGGCCAATGACCGCTCTAACAGGAGGCAGATTATTTATAAGATCTTGTGAACTGTAGAAAGCACCCTCCAAAATCTATTTGCATAAGCACACACACACATACACACACACACACACACACCAGCAGTTCTTGCCTGCGGAGATTCCTCTGCAGCTAAAGTGGTGAAACTTACGGGGTGGAGCTTCCTAAAAAGATTATCAGGGTCTCCTGGGTTGGTATGCCTTTAAACCTTTGGACTTTACCACCTCCTATCTCTCCTATCTCCTCTCAACAAAGGTTAGGAGAACAAGAATGCAGAAAAAACGGGTCCAGGATGACATCTGAGTGCTTGCTTTGGGCTTCTTGATGAGTGAGACAGAAAATAAAATAAAATCCCCTTTTTTTAAAGCCATGCTTACTCAGGTTTTCCTTCATTTGCAGCTAAATACAGAAATGAGAGAATATTTTGGAGTAGGGATGGAAGAAGAGAGGTATTTGCCTTCCCACAACCTTCTGATTTCCCAGTGTGTCCCCAACTGGAAAAATTCATTTAAAATGGGTGTAATAAGCTTGATTAGATGCCTGCTATGCATCTAGGCTTGAGGGCAAACTGGACTCGGCCTTTTGGCCTCAAGAAGCTCACAGTGTGAGAGTAGCATTTGTGACCTCTTGAAATTCACAGAACTGAATTGTGCCCAGGTTGACACTCTATCCATCCATAGGTGCCTGCCTTCTCACTTCCCTCTTTGCATGAGCACCTTGTACCAAAATCCAAACCCAAATCTCCTCACATGTGAGTGTTGGCATTTATGTCTCAAACATGACCTATGGGTTTGGGACTTTTCCCCGTGGACGCCAGTGACTTTTCAGATGAACAGATATCTTCAAAAACTTGAGAAATAGGAGTCCTGTTTGTTGTTCTTGTTGCCTTGTCAATATAAGGGCATAGGGTCTTTACTCAAACGTTCACATCTATCTCTTGACAGCAATACTCTGAGACATATTGATGGAGAAGCTGTTGTCTCCATATGTTAAATGAGGACGTGCATCAGGGAACTTGCCTATGGTTCTCTCCAACCACTTAAATTCTGAAACTTTGAAATGAGAGTGGACAGTAATTTCAAATCAACGGGGAAAGAATCAACTCTTCAGCAAATGGCTTGAGATAATTAGCTACACATTTCAGAACAAATAAAGAAGTCAGATCCCGGCCGGGCGCAGTGGCTCATGCCTGTATTCCCAGCACTTTGGGAGGCCGAGGTGGGTGGATCACGAGGTCAGGAGATCGAGACCATCCTGGTTAACACAGTGAAACCCTGTCTCTACTAAAAATATATATTAAAAAAAAATTAGCTGAGCGTGGTGGCGGGCGCCTGTAGTCCCAACTACTCGGGAGACTGAGGCAGGAGAATGACTTGAACCCAGGAGGCAGAGCTTGCAGTGAGCCAAGAACACGCCACTGCACTCCAGCCTGGGTGACAGAGCAAGACTCCGTCTCAAAAAAAAAAAAAAAAAAAAAAAAAGAAGTTAGATCCTAACTTCAACCCTATTTAATAGATTATAGATGAAAGAAAGGTAAAAATGGCTTTTACACTCCCTTCTTCCTGACATTGTGTGTGTGTGTGTATTTGCACACACATCTCAAATAATAAGAAAATTGAAGGGAGGCTGCCTGCCTCCCTGAGTCACTCTCCTCCTCCTTCTGAGTGCTTACCTGTGCCCAGACCACCTCCTTAGCCTCACACCCTCCAGGCTCATAGGGCACTCTTCTATGCCCATCCCAAGTATAGCTGATCCTTCCACGGGCCAGACTCGGTGCTAGGTACCAAGTATGCAAAGATTAATAAAACAATGCCCTGTTTCAGGGAGCTCAAAGCTGATTGGGCAAGGCACGATGTGTACACGAATGACAACCATGGTAGGGTTGTAGGTTTCCTAGTAAGGTAAGCATAGGGCATGATGGGAAACAAAGGAAGGAGGGGTTCACAGCCTCACCCAGAGTTCAGAACCCCTGGCCTGCCTGGTGTCTATGCTGAGTCCACTTCTGGAACACCCAGCTCAGAGAGCGGGCTAACCCTGCAGGCTAACACAGACACAGCCCAGAAAACCCAGGAGCCGAGGGGGAAGGAGAAAGGTGCAAGCAGGGGAAACCCAGGTCCTGGTCCCCTTCTCTCTGCTTCCTGGCAGCAGAACTCAGACAGAACCCTTAAGCCAGTGTAAGGCTGGCAGGACCAGTAAGTTCTGAGTTAGCTCCATACTAGTTTCTAGAAGGCTCTTTCTCACTTCCTGATTCTTAGGTTTCTACATTGACACTCCCTGAAGAGTTGGGAAGAGACACCACAGTCCCCTGACCCTGATCCATAGGTCACCACAGCAGGGACATCCATAGGCTGGGCCTGGGCCCTCTCATCCCTCCCTCCCATTCACTCTATGCTGGCTGGGCCCCAAGGTGTTTGCGCCCCTTGCAGTGAGTGACCTTCTCCAGTGGAGCAGGCTCAGAACCTTCTGCCATTGGAGATGTCCCATTGCTGATGCAGGAAGGTGAAGAGCCAGCAGAACACTGGGAACGCCCTCCATCTGGGTCCATGGCTACTTGAACTCAGTGCTTCCTGGCAGGCAGGAGGACAAGTGCTGTTGCCCTGTTGGGACAGATAAAAAACAGACACAGGGAGGATGAGTGACTTGCCCTGAGTATAGAGTGACAGGGCCAAGGCAGAGCCCAGGCCTCCTGCACCTAGGCCAGTGTTCCTCCCACTTACAGTCTAAACTGGAACGGCAGGCAAAGTCCCTGTGGAAGGGGAAGGTGAAGTCTCAAAGGATCCCCAGAGACTTTGCAGATATCTGAAGAAGTCCTGATGTCGCTGTCCTGGTCCTTCACCAGGTAGAGCAATGCTCCACGCCGCAACTCAACTGGCTCCCCTTACCTTGTACACACACACACACACACACACACACACACACACACACACACAAACAAATCCAAGACAACACTACTAAGGCTTCCTTGGGAAGGGGAAGTAGGGATAGGTAAGAGGAAAGTAAGGGACCTCCTATCCAGCCTCCATGGAATCCTGACTTCTTTTCCCTGTTATTACAACTTCTTCCTCCCCATCTTTTAAACTTTAGACTCCCGCCACAGAAGCTTACAACTAAAAGAAACTCTAAGGCCAATTTAATCCAAGGTTTCATTCTATGTGTTGGAGATGGCATAGAGTAGGGTGAGGGAACCAAATTCTCAGTTGGCACTGGTGTACCCTTGTACAGGTGATGTAATCGCTCTGTGCCTCAGTTTGCTCACTATAAAATAGAGATGGTAGGGGTCATGGTGAGCACTACCTGACTAGCATATAACAAGCTTTCGGCAAGTGCAGACTACTCTTACCCACTTCCCCCAAGCACAGTTGGGGTGGGGGACACCTGGGACAGCTGAAGAGGAGGAAATGTGTGCCTGAGAATCCAAATGAAATCAGGGTAAAGGAGCCTGGAGCACATCCTGTGACCCTGCCTGTCCTGTAGGAAGCCGGTCTCTGGAAGGTAAAATGGAAGAGCTGCTTGGGAGCTTTGAGGATATTTAGCCCACCCCCTCATTTTTACTTGGGGAAACTAAGGCCCACAGACCTAAGGTGACTGTCTAAGTTAGCAAGGAGAAGTCTTGGGTATTCACCCTGGGTTGGGGGGACCCAATTATTTCTCAATCCCATTGTATTCTGGAATGGGCAATTTGTCCACGTCACTGTGACCTAGGAACACGCGAATGGGAACCCACAACTGCGGGCCTCTGCGCACAGAACAGCTGTTCTCCCCAGGAAATCAACTTTTTTTAATTGAGAAGCTAAAAAATTATTCTAAGAGAGGTAGCCCATCCTAAAAATAGCTGTGCAGAAGTTCATGTTCAACCAATCCTTTTTGCTTACGATGCAAAATTTGAAAACTAAGTTTATTAGAGAGGTTAGAGAAGGAGGAGCTCTAAGCAGAAAAAATCCTGTGCCGGGAAACCTGTGATTGTGGCTTTTTATGAATGAAGAGGCCTCCCTGAGCTTACAATATAAAAGGGGGACAGAGAGGTGAAGGTCTACACATCAGGGGCTTGCTCTTGCAAAACCAAACCACAAGACAGACTTGCAAAAGAAGGCATGCACAGCTCAGCACTGCTCTGTTGCCTAGTCCTCCTGACTGGGGTGAGGGCCAGCCCAGGCCAGGGCACCCAGTCTGAGAACAGCTGCACCCGCTTCCCAGGCAACCTGCCTCACATGCTTCGAGACCTCCGAGATGCCTTCAGCAGAGTGAAGACTTTCTTTGTGAGTATGATTCCCTCCTGTGCTTTCTCTCTTCCTGGGACTGCCTGAACTAGGCATTTTCCTGGAGCTATAAGAAGAACCCTCCTCCTGTGCCTCCACTTCCATCCCCAACACCTATTTCCCCAAACTTAAATTCTTAAGAGAATCCTAGATCAAGCCATAGGTTTAGTGAGTTAAGCTAAGCCAGATGATACAGTAAATGTGCAGGAAAAGCTGCCTTAAAAAGTAAATGCATTCTTTCTCATGCTAAGAAACTTCTTATAAGATCCTGCTAGAGCTCTATACTTTATTGGCTAGGAGAAGTAAAGAAAGGTCTGATTTGAGGTGAAGATGCTCCCCATGCCCTGTAACAGGGAAGCTTAAATTGCCTCTGCTTAGAGCCTTTCCAGACCTGAAAGACCAGTGGTTTGGGGAAGCACTCTACATGAGGGAAACCTGCATTAGAAGGAGCTTCTTATTCCCTGGGATCATTTCCAAGCTGAACTGGATGTCTACAGTGGGGAGAAAGAAAAGCAGAGAACAGGACATGAGAGGGGGCTCGAGGCACCGAAGGGTTGACATAGGTGTTCCTTAAAGCCGAATGTAGCTCTGCAGAAAGAAGACCAGGACTGAGTCAAGTTTCTGCTTTCGCTTCAAAATCGGCCAGATTTTTTAAATAACTTGACTCTGAGGAGGAGGACCAGATTTAAGTGATGGTCCCATCACTGTTGAATCCTCTGTTTTTAAAACTCCCCTTTTGATATTTTGGGCCAGAGCCAATTTGATTTTTAAAAAAACAAAAACAAACAAACAAACAAACAAAAACTCAAAACGCAAGGGCATCAAAAAGAGCGCATTTCAGTTATTTCTCCAAACCTCAAGTTCATTCTCCTTTTGTTCTTCATGCAGCAAATGAAGGATCAGCTGGACAACATATTGTTAAAGGAGTCCTTGCTGGAGGACTTTAAGGTGAGAGCAGGGGCGGGGTGCTGGGGGAGTGTGCAGCCTGATTAAGGGAAGGGAGGCTCTGCTTCCTGATTGCAGGGAATTGGGTCTGTTTCCTTCGTTTTGAAAACGAGAAGTGGGAAGATCTTAACTCAGCACATAGCAGCCAGAGGGTTTACAAAAGGCTCAGTCCTTGCGGGGAGGCTTCTGGTGAAGGAGGATCGCTGGAACCAAGCTGTCCTCTCAAGCTATTTGCGGCAGCCCCTCCTCCCAGCCACCTCCACCAATCTCTCACTCACCTTTGGCTCCTGCCCTTAGGGTTACCTGGGTTGCCAAGCCTTGTCTGAGATGATCCAGTTTTACCTGGAGGAGGTGATGCCCCAAGCTGAGAACCACGACCCAGACATCAAGGAGCATGTGAACTCCCTGGGGGAGAATCTGAAGACCCTCAGGCTGAGGCTGCGGCGCTGTGTAAGTAGAAGAACAGTTCTTTCCCTTGCAGCTGCCCCCAAAATACCATCTCCTACAGACCAGCATCCAGAGACACTCACATCTAGAGACACAGCAAAGACACAGACTGGCAGAGCTAGCTGTAAATGTGGAAAGACTCTTGGAGTCAGATCTCTTGCTCATTTCTCTTTGAGCACGCGTGGGGGGTGGCTGCTAGGCATTTACATGTGAAATTTGCGAACAGCTTTCCTGTTATTTGTGAGTCATTTGTGGGTTATTAACTACTCCCCTCTCTCTCTTCATGAAAAGAGCCCAGAGCTTCAGTCAGGCCTCCACTGCCTCTTTGTAACTAGACCCTGGGCTGGGAGCTAAGGTTTCCAAGCAGAGGAAACATCACTCACCTCTTTTAATCTCAACATTTGGAAAGCAAAGCTCTAAGAAGGGCCCAATTGACTGACAGGACTTCCCCTGGCATTTTAGAAGGGACAAGGGGACTATTCATCCCCGGGTTAGTGTCTATGAGTAATTCCTCTAAGTAATTTATTTCTCCAACTGACATGATGCCCTCACTACTAATGGTTTCCCTTGTTCTCTCACCAATATTGGAAAAACAGTTGGTGCCTATTTGTAGGACAGGGCTATGTGAAGGGTTTGGTGCCAGTAGCTTCCCTCCTCAGATGCTTAGAAATGGTCCTCAGTGGCTGTGACTGACAGGGAGGGACAGGATGGAGAGGCAGAAAAGGACAGGCTGAAGAATGCCTCACTAAGCACTGCAGGAGATACTGTAGAGTTCCGGGGGAGGAAGGAATCCCAAGACCGGGGTTGTCATCCAAGCCTTGCGAACATCTCGGAGTGGGTCCTGGAGAAATACATTTTATCTCCCAGGGCCATGGTTCTTCTCTGACCCTTGGATAGTTAGTAAGGGTGAAGCAGGGCTCAGTTCTCTCTGGGAGCTGTGAGGCGAGGCATTTGGATAAATCTAGCACCCTCATGATGCCACCAGCTTGTCCCCCAAGTGTGATGGACATGGAGCTGGGAGCCGGGATCACCAACACTTTCTCTTTTCTTCCACAGCATCGATTTCTTCCCTGTGAAAACAAGAGCAAGGCCGTGGAGCAGGTGAAGAATGCCTTTAGTAAGGTGAGCTTGGATGGTGGCAGAGAGGGTCTGCAGAGCACAGCCCATGCCCACTCCCCAACCCCAAAGCGTGGAAGGTGGTGAGGACTCAGTAGGCCCCATCCTTCATTGGAAGGAGTGTGGGAACCTGACAGATGGTATGACCTGCTCAGCCAGTGAGGAGCTGCCGCCTTGATTGTATTTGTTTTCTGTTAAGTGTCTTTGGGGGTTTCTAAATGACTGCTCGCTGCCTTTGCAGGCTTGCGGGTTAGGCTGGCCGGCCAGCCTGTGAACACAGTGAGCTGTGTGCTGGGGAGAGTGACAAAGGAAACAGAAAGTACAGAAAGTAGCTTGTTGGGAATCTAGGCTGAACCCACACGTGCAGGAAGCTGGCACATAAATGTGCACATACAAATACACCTGGGGGTTCAGCCCAGACTCCCCAGAACTCAGAGTGAGCAGGAAGCCGGATTCTCACTTAGCTGGAGTTGGTTCAAGCCCACTTTCCATCTGCCCCTTGCACCTGCCAAGGTGCCTGAGAATGTCAGCTCCCAAACCAAATAGGGTTTCACACTTCCAACTGTGCGTGAACTTTTTCAGTCTGATTTCCCAGAAACCATGCTGCCTATGTCCTCCTCGTGGGCTGGGGACAGACACTGAACAGAGTGCCAACACTGTAGTGTTGAACAGTAGTGTGAATTTCTCATAGTAGATCAGGGCGGCAGGGCAGGGCCTGTTCAATGTGTTGGTGGGAGAACGCAGACATTTAAAAGGCTCCCTCCTCTCCTTCTCTCACCATCTTGCTTTCAAAGTGCTTCCTCTAATGTCTTTTCATCACACTCTGCATAATCATCATGTGAATACGTGACCTTTAAAATTGTTGAAAAGGCATCATTTTGAAGACAGCGCTTTGCAAAATGAATGCTCCCTTTGCTAGGCAGTAGCCGTACTTCAGGCCTGGAGGAGATGAAGGTCAATGCACTGCCTTTCCCAAGGCAGCTGGGCCTATCCTCTGGTTCACTTCCCAGCGTGAGGGAGAATAAGCAGCCTCTGCACTCAAGGTCATGCCCATCCATGAGCATGGGAAAGGGGAGCCTATTTCGTCCCCAGAAGGGATTTAACTGAATGTTTCTTCTTTGCACAGCTCCAAGAGAAAGGCGTCTACAAAGCCATGAGTGAGTTTGACATCTTCATCAACTACATAGAAGCCTACATGACAATGAAGATACAAAACTGAGACATCAGGGTGGCGACTCTATAGACTCTAGGACATAAATTAGAGGTCTCCAAAATCAGATCCAGGGTTCTGGGATACCTGACCCAGCCCCTTGGGAAACCTTATTGTACCTCTCTCATAGAATATTTATTACCTCTGATACCTCAACCCCCATTTCTATTTATTTACTGAGCTTCTCTGTGAACGACTTAGAAAGAAGCCCAATATTATAATTTTTTTTCAATATTTATTATTTTCACCTGTTTTTAAGCTGTTTCCATAGGGTGACACCCTATGGTATTTGAGTGTTTTAAGATAAATTATAAGTTATATAAGGGAGAAAAAAAAAACCTTCCTTGGGAAGCCAACAGAAGCTTCCATTCCAAGCCTGACCACGCTTTCTAGCTGTTGAGCTGTTTTCCCTCACCTCCCTCTAATTTCTTTTGTCTGTGGGCTTGGGGCTTCCTAACTGCTACAGATACTCTTAGGAAGAGAAACCAGGGAGCCCCTTTGATGATTAATTCACCTTCCAGTGGCTCAGAGGGATTCCCCTAACCTCATTCACCAACAACTTCATTCTTGAAAGCTGTGGCCAGCTTGTTATTTATAACAACCTAAATTTGGTTCTATGCCGGGCGCGGTGGCTCACGCCTGTAATCCCAGCACTTTGGGAGGCCGAGGTGGGTGGATCACTTAAGGTCAGGAGTTCCTAACCAGACTGGCCAACGTGGTGAAACCCCATCTCTACTAAAAATACAAAAATTAGCCGGGTGTGGTGGCGCACACCTGTAATCCCAGCTACTTGGGAGGCTGAGGCAGGAGAATTGCTTGAACCCAGGAGGCGGAGGTTGCAGTGAGCTGATACCATGCCACTGTACTCCAGCCTGGGTGACAGAGTAAGACTCTGTCTCAAAAAAATAAAAATAAAAATAAATTTGGTTCTAATAGAACTCAGTTTTAACTAGAATTGATTCAATTCCTCTGGGAATGTTACATTGTTTGTCTGTCTTCTTGGCAGATTTTAATTTTGAATAAATAAATGTATCTTATTCATATCATGTTCTGGTGTCCGTTGACTCTTGTCTGACTAAAATTGTTCTCTCGAGGATCCCAAGACAAAAGAGAATGGGTGAATGAATTCTGCATTTCAGAGAAAGGAAGCCAGCTACCCCCTCCCAGGAGAGAGGGAAGGCTCCAAACCCGATCAGAGAAAAAGCTATTCTCACTGCAAAAGCCAACAGCAAAGACACCATGGTCTTCCCACAACTCAATCCTTCAAAGATTTGCTCCTAAGTCCTTAAAGATCATGCTGATTTTCAAGGCTAAGGAGTAGATTCTATAGGTACCAAAATTAGAAAGGAAAACGGGGGAAGTTTTTTGGGGTTTGTTTTTGGTTTTGTTTTTGCTTTTTGAGATGGAGTCTCTCCCTGTCTCCCAGGCTGGAATGCAATGGCATGATCTCGGCTCACTGCAACCTCTGCCTCCCAGGTTCAAACAATTCTCCTACCTCAGCCTCCCGAGTAGCTGATCTACAGGCTCACGTCACCATGCCCGGCTAATTTTTTGTATTTTTAGTAGAAACGGGGTTTCACCATGTTGGCTGGGCTGGTTATGAACTCCTGACCTCAAGTGATCTACCCGCCTCAGCCTCCCAAAGTGTCGGGATTACAGGCATGAGCCACCACCCCCGGCCAGCGGAAGTTTTTAGGGTGAATACGAATTGCCTGGGTTATCCTGAGGATTAAGATAATGAGCTCACAGGGCTTCTGTCACTAGCAGATGGTCACAGTGCATACAGTTGGTTGTTACTGGTCATCACAACCAAAAACTCCCGCCAAATCCTCTTTGAGCTGAGATCAGAGGCAACAGGGCTGGATCCAACAGAGTTGAAAATAAGCAAATTAGCCCACTTGAGAGGATAGCCAAGGACATCAGCTGCTGCTCTTTCTATCCCCTCTCTGAGCCACCAGACAAATGTGAGACTGGCTTCTGACTGCGGTCTGCTGGGAGGGGCACGGTGGCTGGGGAAGCCCTACTCAAAGCCCCATGACTTAGAGGAGAGAGGAGGAAAAAAAACGGGCTGAGTAAACACTAGTCTGCCTCACGCTCTGCCTGGGCAGCCCTGGTCTGGGGAAGGCTGGGAGCGGACAGGCTGTGGTCAGTTTTTCAGTAAGACCTGACTCACTTTGATTAAAGTAACCATAGGAAGGAAGTGGGAAACATCAAAGCGAAAATTCTGAGATGAAAGGGTAGGAATAAGAATGGAGGTTAGCAGAAGATAAGGAGAGGGGCCAGAAGCTGTCTACTCTGAGGCTGTCCATACTGAACTGAAGAAGACATCCTGAGTCTGTGAAAGGAAAATCTTGGGGCCTCAAAATCACTAGGCTAAAGGGAAAAGTCAAGCTGGGAACTACGCAGGGCAAACCTGCCTTCCATTCTATTCAAAGCCATCCCTCTGTTCACTGAGATAGATGCATATCTGATAGCCTCCTTTGGAAAAGAATCAGAAACTCAAAAGAATGCAACCATTTGTCTCTCACCTACCTGTGACCTGGAAGCCCCTTCCCTGTTTTGAGTTGTCCCCATCTTTCTGGATGGAACCAATGCACTTCTTACATATATTGATTGATGTCTTGGATGGAACCAATGCACTTCTTACATGTATTGATTGATGTCTCCTGTCTCCCTAAAATGCATAAAACCAAACTGTGCCCCAACCACCTTGGGCACATGTCATCAGAACTTCCTGAGGCTGTGTCACAGGCACGTGTCCTCAACCTTGGCAAATAAACTTTCTAAATTAACTGAGACCTGTCTCAAATTTTCAGGGTTCACAAGTCCCCTGGCCTGGAAAGCTTAGGCAGTTAGCCTTCCAGGCATTGCATACTGACTTTAGTTTGAGGCTGGCATTTCATTTGAGGGAAGTGGGCATCTGAAACAAAAAGAAACTCACCTGAAAAAAAGCTGTACAGCTGATAAGATGTTAATGATAGCTACAATTTATTAGGCAACTACAGTTTATTAAGCTAGTCACTTATTTTAAGCCATCTGGTAGTATTATGTAGCAATTACATGGCATTATTGCTGTTTTCTCTAAGAGGAAGCTGATACTAAGTCATTTTTTTCTGTTGCATTTGCTCTAATGGTATTTAATAATCTAACATTCTGTAGATCATATTTGACAGTCAAGGCTTCGGAACAAGCATATTAACTCAGCTCTTTAAATCATGAGTTGACCACAGGTTAACCTGGGAGAAAACATAGGCTCTGCACTTCCAATTTATCGTCTGTTTGTGTGTATAATTGTTCCCGTATACCTGATATTTATGTTAATGGCAATATGAACATTGACTAAAGTCATTTGCTGGCTACTTTGCTAAGTATTTGATATATATTAGCTCATTAATTATCATGTAAAACTATGAGGCACTATTAATATCTCCATGTTTTCATGTAGTGAAAATGAGACCCAGAGAAGCTATGTAATTTACCTTTGGTCATCCAGCTGTTAAATGACAGTCCATGGTCTTAATGATTATCCTACACTCCTAAAGTCATTTTCACAGGTAAATTACTGCACCATTCTTCTTTTCTAATATAATTCTGTTTGTATCATGAAACACTGAGATGCAGGTTTTATAGTATGTTGTGTATCCACTTTTGTTTGTCTCAAGATGTTTTTAAATTCTTCTTTGACCCACTAGCTGTTTGGGAGCATGAGAAATGTCAATCTGGCTTAGACACATGGGAAACATGGAGAATGGAGAACTGTGTATAGAATAAAATACTTTTCTCTTTGTATTATTTATTTATTGCTGTCTTCAAAATTTAGCAGCTTAAAACAACACTCATTTGTTATCTCAGCTTCTGTAGGTCAGGAGTCTGGGAGTGACAACTAGGAATTCCATCTCAGGATTCCAATGAGGCTTTGTCAGAAGGACAGCCAGGGCTGCAGTCACCTGGTGGCCTGACTGGGTTAGCAGATTCATGAGTAACATGGCACACTCATAGGGCTGTTGGCAGGTGGCTTTGGTTCCTCTTCATAGGGCTTCTTGAGTGTCCTCACAACATGGCAGCTGTCCTACCCAGAGCCAATGATGCAAGAGAGAATAAGGAGAAAGTTGCAGTATATTTTATGACCTAATTCCAGAAATCTCACACCATCACTTCTGCTATATTCTATTTGTTAGAAGTGAACCAGTAAGTCTAGCCCACATTCAAGGGAAAAGGAATTAGATTCTGCCTTTTGAAGGGAGGAGTGTCCAAGCATTTGTGCACCTGTTTTAAAACAATCACAACCTTCTAAGAATCTAGAAGAAATAGTTTTGTGCTCTTGAGCTGGTAGGGAAAAGGGGAGGAATTGGGTGGGCCTCAGTGTGCCTGGATAGGCCATCATCATGCACACTCCCACCCTCAGTCCTCTCTCATAGGCTCACTCTGATAGATTTATTTCTCTAAGGTTTAGTTTCTCATCTGGAAAACTAGCAAAACGTCTTCCCAGGTGCTATGGCCTGAATGTTTGTGTCTCACCAAAATTCATATTTTAAAGCCCTTTCCCCCAGTGTGATGGTACTTGAAGGGGGGACCTTTTGGAGGTGAGTAGGATTAGATGAGGTCATAAGGGTGGGACCCTCAGGATGAGATTAGTGCCCTAGAGAACTTGCTGTCTTCCCCCCACTACCCCCAAGTGCGCTCAAAGAAGAGGTCATGTGAGCACACAGTGAGATGACGGCCACGTCCAAGCCAAGAGAAGAGGACTCAGAATGAAACTTGCCTTGCCAGCACCTTGATTTTGGACTCCCTAGCCTCCAGAACAGTGAGAAAACAAGTTTCTGTTGTTTAAGCCACCCAGTCTGTGGTATTTTGCTGTGGCAACCTGAGCTGACTAATATACCAGGTTTGCTATAACTGCCAAATGAAATCTCAGGTATGAAGGTACGTATGTGTTTTGAACAGGGAGCGCAGAGATGAGATTTTGATGGGATTTGTTTTTCAACAAGCCTTTATTCTCTAAGAAAAGCAACTATCTCCTCTCTTCCATGTCTACGCTGTGCCCTTACACCTGAGTCTGAAAAATAGTGGAGAATGAGAATCTCTGTTTGTCTGTGATCCTGGCTTTG